AAGCTTTGCCACAAATCTTGACCCTCGTATGACAAAATTCTCATCCAGATCTCCAATTAGCAAGCAAACACAAAATTACCTTTTAACTGCGACGGCTTGCGACGGCCACGGCCACGGCCACGGACAGGGACAGCATCGACTTCAGCCGCTTCCTTGACGACTCCTTCAGCCGCAACTAAAAGAAACGAGAAAAAGATGAAATGATGTAGAAAAATGACGAATGAGGGATTAGGTTACAGAGGTATTACGCCTTCCTGTTTATACAACTAAAAGTGCTAGGACCAATTGACAACTTATGTGTTGTTTATTACACAATAACAGGGCAAAAAAGTAAAGTCACATTTAACACCCAACAACCGAAGCTGGTTGTGAATTCAGTTAAATCTGAACATGTAGCAAGGGAGCCAATAAACACTGAAGGAAGAGGTGGAGATTACCTATGCAGGACATAACAAATCTCATCAAACAGGAGGTTGCAAAGTACTTGACAATAAGTGGACAACAAAGATCAGAAAATGACAGTTTGCTTGCCAGATGGTAGTATTAAGAAGGTCACAAACAAGGAGAATGTACAGGTCACAAAAAGTTAACTCTGAGGAATGTCCCTTATGTGCCTGATTTTAAATATAATCTCCTATCAGTCAATCAACTGTGTTTAGACACAAACTTACATTGCTCATTTTCAGCTAGTACATGCCATTTGTTTGATGCAATAGATAACAAAATGTTGGGAGAAGGGATTTTAGCCGGTATTTTGGCCGGTAAAACCGGTATTTTCCGGTATGAAACCGGTATAAACTGGTATTTTGGCCAAAACGGTATTTTGGAGGTAATCATACCGGTTGGACCACCGGTATCCAGTATTACCGGTAATACCGGCCGGTACATACCGGTATTTAAAACATGGATTATCGCTCAAAAGAGGGAAAATAGATATTGTTGAGACGGCTGCTTGTTGTCAGCTAATGTCCCTCGTCGTGTCGTGTTTACCCAAATCTCTCTTTTTTTTAAAAAAAAAATCCCATTAATTAAGTAATTAATTATATAACTCCTTTTTCATGGACTGGACTGTCAAATGACGGCGTGTTAGGCGGTCTGGTGTCTGTTGGATCTCACCTTTCGGCCCAAGCCCATTTCGACTTTCTAGGCCCGTTACCTAAACAGGACCCCACACATACTGTTTCAGTGATTCGCATCTCACGACCCACGAGGCTCAATTAATAAGCAAATACTTAGGTGCGCACTGTCACGCCTAGCAAGGTGTGTCAAGACATTTTTAAAATGAACATGTTACATAATAAAATGAACACGTGTAAACATGTTTAGACATGTTAATTTTAATCTGCCTTGGCACACCTTGCTAGGTATGTCAAGGCGCACGGTAGTAGCACTGCAAACGCCTTGGCTGAGTCAGATCATGGTTAATCTCCGCCGTTAAAATAAATAATCTGTGCGGTGGGTTTAAAATAAAATATTTATATTAAGCGATCGATTCTATCATAATTTTATAATTAAAATGAATATAAAATATTATAAATATCATATTTCTGGTTATCTTATTTTAAAAAATACGACATTTTAGTTTGAAAGTATACACTTTTGTTGAAAAACTATAATTTGTTTAATTGTTAGATTTGGCTGTGACCTTATCGACTATTACTTTGGTATTAATTTAAATTTTTTTATCCAATCTTGTATTTAATATACAAAAATAGACCTATAAATGTGTCGAGCAGCTTGAGCGCTTGATGCTCAAGCTAGAACTCATATGTTTATTTAAGTCGAGCCGAGGTCGAGATTTTTAATATGTTAATTAAACAAATTCGAGCTTAACTCATTTGTCAATATTAACAAATCAAGCAATAAAAATTAAAATACACAATAGTTCCTACGTACTTACGAGCCTAAATCAAACATATTTATAATGTAACGAAATTAATTATTAAAAAAAAAATACTTATCATAATATTACAATAACTCAAAAACTATGACTACCTAAAACAACGAAACACGTTCATTAATATTTTTTTGTCATACAACAACATATTTAATTAATTAATTTATATATGATAAATTAAATAATTTCAGAATTAATTGCTCATCGTCTTGTCCCTTTAAAGGGGAATGCATAAAGTATGAGGAGTTAATACGGCCGCCAGACATTTCTGCATGCTACAGTGTAATTACTAATCTACCCCTTTTGTGATTCATACGTATGTATGTATATATATATATATATATATATACACACACATATTATTATTGGTTTTAACTCTGAATTCGAGTTTTTTTAACTTACTCTCCATTTTATTATAATTATTTTAGGAAAAATGCAAGTGGTGAGAGGCGTGGAGTTC